GGTCCTGGGCCTTCATGCCAACGCCGAGATCGGGTATTACATGCACGCAGTGCGGGACATGTGGAGTCACCTGCTCGACCTGCAGCCACAAACGGGTGCGTGCCCTGTCTGAACTGGGTTTGTGAACAGGAAATCTCCAGGGGCGAGTGCTGAGTGCTGGGGACAGTGACAGCAGCCCCCGTGTGTGGGGAGTGATCCTGGGGCTCTGTCCCAGCCTTGGGGAGCAGAAGGAGCAAAGCCACTGCAGGGCTCAGCTGGGAGCAGCTCAACACCTGCCCAGAGGCACAGCTGGAGACATGCAGGACTGTGGGCAAATGTCAGAGCAGAACTGGGGGGAGACTGATGCCAGAAGGTGACTCAGCTCTCCAAGCTCTCAACCTTCTCTCAGATTTAGTCTCACTGAAATTTTTTTGTTTCAGGTGAAACTGGTGCAGGAATTAGTCGAGATGAATATATTGCAAATGTTGCCAAGGATATAGAAAACAAATTACCTCAAGTATTCGATCTTGACCACATACGTAAAAGTTACGGAGTAAACATCTCCCCTACGACTGTGGTGCTGTTGCAGGAACTGGAACGTTTTAACAAGCTCATCGTTCGAATGGGAAAGTCATGTGCTGAGCTACAACGTGTAAGTAAAATCACAGCAGCTCGATGGGACAGCTGGGCTGTGCCTGCCCTCAGAAACTTTACCATTGTTGCAGGCCTTGGCTGGGGAGGTTGGAATGAGCAGTGAACTGGATGATGTGGCTCAGGCTCTCTTCAATGGGCAGATTCCTGCGATCTGGCGGCGGCTGGCCCCCGACACCCTCAAAACACTTGGGAATTGGATTATTTTCTTTAGAGCTCGATATGAGCAGTACACCAGCTGGGTAAGCAAGTGCCTCCAGAAAGGCTTTTGTTTTGTTAACCTGCATGATGTGCTGGGCAGGCTGGTGCAGAAGCCAGTGAACACTTCAGGTAAGTTCCTGAACCACTGCCATCATAACTGTGGATGCAAGGCAGACTCACCCCAGCTCCTCTCTAAGGGCACTGTAGGGTGAGTACCAGGTGCTGCCCTTCACTGTCTGTGGTTGCAGGTCAGTGAGGGTGAGCCTGAGGTGATGTGGCTGTCGGGCCTGCACATTCCCGAGTCCTACCTGACTGCTCTTGTTCAAGCTACCTGCAGGAAGAACAGGTGGCCCCTGGATCACTCCACCCTCTACACAGAGGTAACAAAGTACAGGAAAGCAGAAGAGATCACAGAATCCATTCAGGGTAGGTGTTTTCACAATTGTTTGGCAAAAAAGTAGTTAACTGGTGAAAGAAATTGCTTGGCACACTAAATTACTTTGGTTAAACCTTGGCAGGCATTTGCCCTGGGTTTGCATTTCACAGTCCTCATGATTTCCAGCTAGGAAGTAACTGGGTTCTGGTCCTGCAGAGCTCCTGTGTGCATGAAGCTCTTCCCATCCACAGGCAGGGATTTGAACTTACAACTCCCTCTTGCTTGCTCCCTATATATGTATCTGTATATCTAGATATAGACATATATCTGTATATATATATATAATATATATAATATGTGTATATATGTATATACATATATATGTATGCGTGTGTCTATGTATATATATATCTCACACCTATATGTGTGTGTGTATATATATGTGTATATATATATATAAATACACTCTGATTTCTTTATGCCTAGAATGTTACCAATCCCAGCAGGCTTGTAAAGATCTGCTTGCACCACAAATAATATACTGAAATCTACTTAAGCAAAAAGTACCTATAAATATATATAATTTATTGTGTAAATATCTCTTTATGAGCTCTCTTATGACTAGCACTGCTCTAATAACTAAATGTAAGAAGCTGGGTGCAGGGAACAGCTAAGCAAGGCTCTGATTGCGAACAGAGGAGGAAAAAAGTCTGGTTATTTTTTTTTTTTTGTTCAAGCTAAATGCTGTACTTGGTATTTGTACCAGAACAACTGTCCTGACCTTTCACCTGCTCTCAGTGACCCAGTGATCAGGCCCAGGGGAGTTACAAAGCTCTCTGTGACTTGGGCAATTGGAGGGCAGCAAATCACATTAATTCCTGCTACTGTTCATCATGTGTAGTGCAACTGAGACAATTTAATTTGATTTCCTAATACAGCGGGATGATAAAAACAAACCCTGTGCAGCTGCAGTTGGAAATGTGTGTTTGTGATGACTGCAGTACCCAAAACAGGGACTGCAGGAACAGTTACCTTAAAAGATCTCCTAGATCTTTTCCAGGAGCTCAGTTGACCCAAATGTTGCATTTTCTGTCTTTGCAGGCTGCTATGTTTCTGGTCTGTTCCTGGAAGGAGCAGACTGGGATGTAGAGCAGGGCTGCCTTATCCAGAGCAAGCCCCGTGTCCCCGTGGTGGAGCTGCCCATCCTGAGGATCATCCCCATAGAAGCACACAGACTCAGACTCCAGGTACAGCTCCTCAGAAGCTGCATTTTATCATTACCATTTCCATATAAAGCACCTGGTTTAACACTTCTTACACTACCCATCACTACAGTTTTTTTCTCCTAAGGGGGTTGATGCATTTGTTGCCTTTTTTCCCTTCAGGCACTCTGGGACAGGGATCTTGTGACACTCTTACATTCCCTCTACTCTTTCAATTATTTCCCATCCCCAGTAAATGACATAAAGGACATTTAGATTTTCTGGGTATTGGCTATTTAAGACCTCTAACAAAAGCAGTGAATTTGTGAAGCCAGTCCTGTCTCCTGGAGGCCCTTGCTGTCTGCTCAGTGTCCGTGCTCCTTTCAGAACACGCTCCGGACGCCGGTGTACACAACGTCCATGCGCCGCAACGCCATGGGCTTCGGCCTGGTCTTTGAAGCTGACCTGTACACTACCAAGCACATTTCCCACTGGGTCCTCCAAGGTGTGTGTCTCACCCTGAATGCTGAGTGACAGTCAGAAATAGGCACTGTGTTCTTCCCCCACAATGCAACCCTTCAGAGGCACAGGGAAAAAATCTTCAACCCGGGCAGAGATTTGGCACCGTGGGTGGGGTGGTGTTCACTTAGGCACACTTGACTTTAGTTAGTATTAGTTTGGTTGTATTATACTCCCAATAAACATGTTTGAAGAACAGAGGTTGTGGTAGTTTGAGTTTCCTTTTGGAACAGCTCCAAGCCAGTCTGTGGCTGCAAAGAGAAAGTTGGTCTCGCACACACAAAGACTAAGCTTTGCCTGGATGGTTGTAAGAAATGTCTTTAATTGCCCAAAGCATCATTTCTGCACTGCCTGGAAGCGGTGCCTCCCACCAGCCTCCAACAAGTGGCAGGGTAGGTCATTCATACAACACATGACCATAAAAATATGGTGCCAACAACCAAAGTAACCAAACCAGCTGCTGGTTAATGCAATACACGTAGAAACAGTAAACCTCAGAGTACCAACCTTGCTTTAACCAACCCCTTTCTGGCAACACAGCTTTTCCCTATCCCTCCCCACCACTTGTGAAACCAATTCCTACCACAGAGCCAGCAAGGCGCGAGGCTGAGGCGGGTCTGGGGCTCAGGGACAGCGAGTGACAGAGGGTGCAGAGGGCAGGCAGAGGGCAGAGCCTTGCCTGGGATCAGCCCTGCTGGAAGGGTCATGCTGCAGGAATCGAGCGGGACCACAGGCGGGAGAAGAGCTCTGCCAGCCTGCCAGGGCCTCTGCTGGGGACGCTGACAGTGGTCCAAGGCTCCGGAGGGAGACACACACCAACACAGCTGCAGAAAAAGCTTACAAGGGGCAAACTACAGCTGGCGAGGGGAGGGGACAGGGCAGGCAGGGATCCTTCATCAGCTGTCACAGAGAATACACGTTCCAAATTTTTAAAGGCACATCATAAGCTTAGCAGCATTTGGGAGCCAGTGTTTCTTGCTGGTCCTACTCAGAGGCTGCAGACAAGAGTGAAGCAGAGGTGAACTGAATGTAAGAAAAATGGACAAACTCGTACTCCTGTCCCCAAACTACATCCCTCCCAGCTCCCAGTATGCCTTTCTTTCCTAGAAAAAAAAATAATAAAAAAAAGAATCAAGTAGTCTTAACAGCTGCTGGGTCTACCTGCTACTTACTATAAAGGAGTAGGGGAATCTGGTCAAGTGCAAGGCAAGTCCATCCCAATCCACAAGGACAGAAATCAAGGATGCCAGGTTCTCCTGTATGAATCGGTTATATCACTTAAAACTAAATACTCACATTTTAGAGGGGCAGCTCAGGTTTCTAGGCTGGCAGCAGCCAGCACTGTCTGATGATGCCCAGAACAAGACTTAAGATTTTCAGGGAAAAAAAAAAAAATTAAAAAAAAATCCCTTTACAAAAAAAGTGCAGGTTAGAGCATAAAGAACCATTTCCATATTGGATAGCCAGTTATATTTCCTCCCTGGAAAAGGAGCTCTGAGCCAGTATGGAAGGTGCTACAAGTGCAGTGTACTGACTAGCATAAAATGTGTCGTGAAGCCATTTGATTAAAAAAAAACAAACCCAAAACAATCCCCACAAATAACCGAGTGTTCATACTCTTCCTATGAGGGTCATTAACCCTTTAAATGGTGCTTTCCCCACGCATATTTTACTTAAAGCCACAAACCTAAGTATTTAGGATTAATCAAGTAGTGATTTCTGGGACTCTGGGGACGTCCTTGGGTCTTTAAAGTGAACATACACGTGCCCAACTTTCAGTGCTGCTGTGAGAGCGGCTGTGGCAGAGGTCAGTGACGGCTCTGGAGTGCTCACACACACTGTGGAGACAAGAGAACCCCTGCCAGGTCAAAAGTTAGCAGCCAACACCTGTGGCTGCAGTGTGAGGGAGGAGTGCTCTCTCTGAGCACTCACTAACGCAGCCCTGTGCCTTTGTCCACATGTGCAGTTACACTAAATGGAGCAGCACTTGGAAGCAAGCAGTCAGGTCCCCCTGATTTGGCCACAGCATGGAGTGGTTATATACCTTGCCATATGAACACAGTCCTAGGAGGTTTCGTTAGAGCAAAATGTATTAATGATGTACCCGGGAGGAGTTTGGCATGCATGGGGCATCAAAAGAAACTTCACCGCAGGTGCTATTTACCCTACAGGCTCACAGTGCATAACCAGCACAGAACAGCGCTTCCGTGGTGTACTCAGACAGTTCTGTCTGTCCCCGAGTGCTTTCTGACCACTTTGCTCCCGTGGACCTGATCCACTGCCAGGCTCTCCACGTCCTGCGGCTGCGCGGGCGCGGCGTGGTGGATGCGATGAGCCACCCCGATGTGCGCCTTGTGCGGCTTCTCGCGGGCGGGGCTGTGCGACTCGCCGGGCGCGCGATCCGAAGGGATGGGCGGAATCACCAACGGCCTCTCCTTGATCAGATGCACCTCGGCCGTTTCCCTGGCCAGCAGAAAGGGCGTGGGATCGGGCATGGCATCCACGGGCTCCCGCAGCACCAGCTTGCGGCTCTCCGACCCTATTCTGTAGGCCTCTTCGAACTCGGGGTTCAGCGGTGTGGACAGGCTCTTCTTCATCCTGCGCCGCGGCGTCTCCGGCAGTTTGTCCTTGGGAGGGGAGGGTTTGTAGCTGGACAGCACGGGGCTGCCGGACGGGGTCCCCTCCGAAGTCCCGCTGGCACTCATCAGCTTCTTCTTGGCCGCATGCAGCTGAGAGGTCAGATAGGCAATCGTGCTCGCTCTCTGCTCCAGTTCACTGGACAACATATTGAGCTTATGGCTTTTCATTTTTAACTCTTCCAAATACTTCTTTTCTCTTTCTTTAATAGTATTTTCCAGCACCATTATCATTGCGTTCTTTTGTTCAAGTTCTTTCAACAATTCACTGTTTTCAGCCTCTTTGATTTTCAGCTGAGCTTCAAGATCCTTGCACTTACTTTTGAGTTCATCACTTCGTGAACTGCCACTGTCTACAACAGGAGAAGCAGAAGTGTTTCAAGTTAACAACAGCCATTATGTAGAAGTGCAATAGGGTTCCCCTGCCATCCCTAAGAGGAATCCAAAAGACTAACTTCAGCAAATCCTCATCCCACACCATCCCTGATCCAGGGAGTTAACCTCAGGGAATTATCTTATTCTTGCTCATAATACATATAAAATAACTAGGATCTAGTGTATACATACACACACACACACACACACACATATATATATTTATAAATAAAAGCTTTGTGGTTAATTTCAGCACCAGCTCAGCTAAGTTTTAAAAATAGTCCCAATCTTCTGCCCCTAAAATTTGTGTCCTGTGTTCCCATATAGCAAGCAGGGAACTGACTGTCTAGTGGAGTCAGCAGTTCCAGGTGCTATTCCTGGATCTTTCACAGATTTCCTGTGTGACCTTGGGAAAGAACTTTTGACATTTATTTCATAAATAACTAAGTCTGGAGAGTAGAAAAGAAAATACAAACATTGAAAAAGATTAGTAAATTGAACATGAATACTAACAGAAAAATGCCATGTATTCCTTACCTGACGAGTCTGAACTCTTTACAGTCAGCTCATAGGTTAAATCTGGGGAAAAAAAGTTGTTTATTTTTGTTAGAACATCATCATGGAGCCCATATATCACTTAGTGAGCAGCTTTCAATAAATACAGAATTAACTCCTCCCACTGCCCAAAGCACGAATAAGAGATTCACTACGAATTAGCAAATACGTACAACTGAACTATCAGCTTTTTAAAGAACAAATAAAAAACCTGGCTTTGATCAGCCAGTTTGCCATGAGATACAATCTGAAGACCCTAAATCCACCCTGCTGGTGGTCTTTGGTGCTGAGGTTTCACTGCTGAGTGGAAGCAGCCACTCCATGAACAGGCACCTGTGCAGCGCTGCTGCAGCCGGCGCAGCTCCGCGTGCAGCCCCTTCAGGGTGTTGGCGTGTTCCCGCTGCAGGAAGAGCAGGTTCTTCTGGGCACTCTGCAGCTGGTACTCCAGGGTGGAGGTGGCCATCCTGACCCTGCCAGGGAACACACATGGAATTGTGATGGTGAATTACCTTGCACATATATAGGGATCTTCCCTCTGCAGCCAGGATCGCCAGGAATGGCTGAATTCTACTGTTAATGCATTGACTGATGTGTGATCATCAAATGTCACAAAAGGTTTTTCTGCTTTAGGACTATTTCAATTACAAGTGCTTTAAGTTCACCAAAAGCCTAATTATACTGTAGGCTGGAGCAGGGAACCCATTGTTTGGAGTTAACACATTTAAAGGATTAACTTCAGACAGTCTAAGTCATTAATCTCGTTACAAGTTAAAAGCAGAACTCTGAGGAATGGGCTACTGTGTCCATCTTGCTGAGGGTTTCCACTTACCCCATGGGACACAGGGATTGGTAAAATCCTTGGCAAGAACAAGGAAGAAAGCACTAAAATGCAGCAGCTCTAAGGAAAAAGGCAGAGCAGGCGTCTGAGCACAGCCAGGCCGGTGGCACTGCCATGGATGTGGCTGCCATGGGTGCCTGAACTGAGATGTGGGTGCTGGGACCAGCACAAGGAAAGCTCCAGCTGCTCCTGAGTTTCCTCAACACAGGGTCCAAGGACACAGAACAAAACAAGGACAGTGCTTCACTCAAAGAGAAAACAAACAGATTTTTCTTGCTGAGGTTACGAGTACATGGAAACCTGTTACACCACTGGGTTTCCCCTACAGAACAGCCTTGGCTACAGCAGTGCTCACACCCAAAGACAGACACAGTTAACAGAATGATGCTGACAGACATCCCTGAAGACCCCTGTGCTGCCAGTGTTGTGACTGGTCCTGATAAGGCAACAATGGATACAGTAGGAAAAGCTAAATTCTGTTATATGTGTAAAAACCATTACAGTAATTAGGTTAAAAGGATAAGTGAGGAGTCAGAACTCCTGCTGCCTGGACAACCACCTGCAGTGGCATTGCAACCATGCCTGAAATTATGGGACCACACCCAGTGTCCAAGATGGACCTTAATGGGTTTGCCTTGGCATGGCAAGTGCTCTCCATTGGGACTCTTTGCTATGGAGTTCTTATGGCAAGAATTTTTTTCTACCAATTTAAAACTGGTAGAGCATAAGCTCAGAGCAAGTGACACACTTCTGTTATTCCTAAACATATCACAGCCCTGTGTTTAATTTTATATTTTTATTCCCCAAAAGAACACCAGGCTTGGTACTCCTGCATCTTTAGTGATGCACTAAAGCACCTGGGGATGTGATGTAAAAATCACACACACACAGAGCCCTCCTGATTTCATCAGTGACCTGAACTGACTTTGTCTTCTGTTGATTTATCCCTACAGAAACAAATATTTGATTCTAAAAAAATAAAAGGAAGGTGTGAAAGATGTTAACAAATCCACTTTGTGCAGGTGCCAAACAGCCTGGTTACCCTGTAACAGAGATCAAGGATTAAGTTCAGTGCCCAAGAATGTGGGTAGCAGTGCCAGCTGTGCTTTGTCGAGTGAATGGGTTATTCTACAGTTACCATGATTAGCAAACAAGCAAAAATTATGGACTAAACACATTCTAAGAAGAGATTTCTAGGGTAGTTAAACAAATTTTGCAACACCCCATCAGTGCCACAATGGTGGTTCCTCACAGCCACAGTGCTGGAGGGCTGTTGGAAGGGGCACTACACAGTCACAGCAATTACTGTGGGGCACCATTATTTCTGAGGAGTGAGGATATTTAAGCTGTGATACATTTTCAAAGTGACATCCTCTGGCTTGCAAAGCTGACATCAGACAGACAGGAGCTTTACTGAATCATCCCATTTCTCCAGTGTTCATCCTACTCTGATCTACCCAGCATGACAGCAGGATAAAGTCACAGCTGGAGCTCTGACTGTGCAGGACATTGAGGCTCAGAAGGGAATCTTCATCGAGGAATGTATTTTCCAAAAGAAACCCTAAGCTGTGATAGGAGTAGGTGAAAGAACAGCCTCCACACAATAGGCCAGAGCTTCTGTTCTCACAATGGGTATTAATGGTGGCTTTACACCTGTAACTGTAACCTGTACAGGAAAATACTTGCCTGAATAAGAAAATATTTTATCAGCAGCAACAGACAGTAAGTGTTCATAGCTCAGTCCTTGCAAATAAACACGTTCATTTAAAACTAGTTTCTAAATGTTAAAAAAAACCCAACAGAACAAGGCTCTCACTATTAATCTCCTCAATTGCTTTTTCACTTTGATCTTCTGCATCTGAAAGATCACACCAGGATTACCTGCTCTGAAGAAAACAAATAAAATCAGAGCCAAGTGAGTGTTATACGCTTAAGAAGAAAATAAGAACTACCAGCACCAGAGCATCATCTTCCTGCAGCAGCACTAAGTTAATCAGTGACATCAATTAAATCAACCCACAATGAGTTTTAGCTGCAGCCCTTCTGCACTAAGCAGCCTTTCTTTGCTTTTCCCCCCTCACTGCAGCCTGGCTGTCTGCTGTCCTCTCTCCTTCCCTTCAAGGGAAAGATGAAGCCACAGCCTCCATGGATGTGTGGGCAGCAGATCCAGCTCCAAACCCGCTCACCCACCCACTCAGGCCTTTTTACACAGCACAGGCAGCACTGTGAACTCTGCCCCCTGTGCTCTGGGGAACAGCCAAAACCATCTGGTGTCAAACCAGGGAAAGGGAAAGAAAGTGTCCTGCACAGACAGTCACTATACAGAGACACAGATTTGCTATGTCCCATAGTCCTGGGATTGCACTAAGCTGATTTCATCTCAGGCTCTCTGAAACACGAAGGTCAAAAACCACAAGAGAAACAAATGCAGAAGTCAATGGGGCCCTTTACAGCCCAGAGGGGCAATCGCCACCTCCCACCATGGAAGTTGGTGGGACAAGCTCCCAAATCTACCAGGCTCTGGCTGGATGGTGGCAGATAAATGACACCAGGGCTGGGAAGAACGCTGTGACTGCATACACAGCACAGAGTTCTGTTACTGTGCTTTTCCCCCCTTCCCCTTTGTCTCCAAACAAAAAAAACGTTCACTATGTTCTTACACAGACAGAACTGTGCAATGCAGAGCTTGGCAAAGTCCCCTGGGAACGCACACAGCATTTGGGAAGGATGACAGAACACTAAAGGGACACTGCAGTGTCCAGGGGTGATGGCGAGGTGACACCTCTCCTCTTTGGCAGCAGGAATGGCCCTAAACACCAAGTGTCCAACCTGTCAGCGACAGAGGCTTTGTGCAGATTGTGCAATGCATTCCAACCTTCAAATATCCACAATTTCTCAGGACCACCACACCACCAAATATTTCTATATATCACTTAGAGATTGAGCTTCAACTCCTCCAAACAATGGATTCACAATTTCTTTTGAATATAGCCAAGGAGGAACAAATGGAATGAGTCAAACAGAATTCCCTTGGGAACGTTAAGCACAACTCTTTAATCATGACTACACCTACCTAAGCCATCATCTGCCAGTAAAGCAGAGAAGGTAACTTCAGTTGTCATTGCTGTAATCTCACCTTAAAAAGGAACTATTCTGTCTCCTTACAAGTACATGCTCTCTTCAAAAGGGAATAGACACACACTAAATCTTATATGGAAAAGGAAAAAATATTAAACAGGAGCTTTCAAAATGCAACTTAATCACATGCTCACCATAAACAGTCACTAACATTTTAACAGCCACATCTTGCCTTGCAGAGGATGTGCAGGCTCCAGGCCTTTTTGGATCTTAAGCATTTGGAGAGAGTTCAAAATGTTTCAAGGCAACGAGCATCTGGCAGCGTATCAGATGCCTTTGCACAAAATCAGAGCATCTCTATACCCTGCTGCAAGATAGGAGGAGGGAGATGCAAATCTCTGACCTTAGACACAAGTCCAAAGAATGGAACAAAGCCCAAACAGCAGTGATTTAACATTTCCATTCCTGTTTGGTATCCACTAAACAGAACACAATAACCTCCTCTGACGTGGATGGGGTGACCATCACCTGAGAAGCTGCTTTAGCTCCCTGCCAACCCATAGCCTTGAAATATGTATGGGCAGACATTTTCCTCTCAACTGCTCGCTGGCCAGTGCTCCATCAAAACGTAACAAAAGCTGACAAATGTCACTTGTTTGCTACACAAAATACAACTTCAAGAACTAAGCAAGGACAAGTGGGTACCTCATGTAAGAGCCTCCAGAGCTTTAGCCCGACCCCATTTTACAGACTGTTACTGAACACACCGAACTTATCTAAACACAGCTTTAATGCTAAAATTACTGACAGTCACTTTATTGTTCTTTGCTTAGATCAGCTCTCCATCTCCGAGATATAATGCCATCCCCAAAGTGTTTGCTCAGCTTCCTTCAAAGGACATAACAAAGGAGACCCTGCAGCCTCCACAGCCAACTCAAGGGCTTTGCTCTCTTTCTGCTTGGACATTTGTTTGAAGTCCCCCACAAACCAATTCTATCACACCACTACACCTCTACTAAAGCAGATTCAGCAATAACACAGCTCAGTGACAAAGTGTTCCAGTTTCAGATTTCTGCTCACCCCTCGTTCATCTGTGCATCAGACTAAGCCAGTTCAACTAGTCCAGTGCTGCTGAAATCAAGCTTTTCAGACAATACACTCAGCCTACACATCCACCTCGGGCATCCCCTCCCTTCTGCAGTGCTCCCTTATCAGTGAGTACCTCTTGCAGGAACACCTCCATCCTCAGCCTTCTGCATGACAATGTAACAATGCTTACACACCATTAGGGACCCAGCAACTTGTTCTTTTATTCTTTTCGTTTGTGTGTTTTAAACCAAGCATAATTAGTATTTCTTTCCCGGAGACAATGGAGGGGAAGAAAGAACTGTGTCACTGTCCTCCCAGAGGAAGGACATGATTTTGCTTTCTCAGCTCCTTTTCCATTTCTAACTGCTTTTGATGCTATTTTACTCAGTGGTTTCTCTGCCTGACTTTCCCATCATTTTCTGATCAGAGGCTGTGTAAACTCTTTGCAGTTAATCTCTCAATGTCCTGCAAGCACACATTTCAGCATTTTAGTAGGATATTTTTTGTTACTCTTACAGCAGCTGGTATGGCAGCAGGAAGAATAATTGAGTGGACACCACCCTGGTAGCAATGATTGAATTCTGGATGCTCCAAAGGAACCAGCTGGTAGCTTTGCACAGAAGTCGCTGACTTCCTACGTGTCTACCTGGAGTCAGGAGCATTGACAGGAATAATTCACATGGTGCTTTCCCTGTCCTTGAGACCACCCAACCCCAGAGCTGTCACAAGGGAAGAGACTAAAGGGAATCAGCTGTTAAAATCACTACTGTGACAGAGTATTAGAGAACCAAACCAAACGGTCCTGCAGTGGCATTTCATACAGACACACTTACTGTGACCAATACCAGGGTATGCAAAGCTGTGGCTGTACAGCTGTCAGGAACAAATAGCTTACTCTGGCAGGAAGCTTTGAAAATTACCTAATTTGAGCCTAATTCACTTTAGGGAGACAAAGAAGGTATTCTCTAAATGACAGTACTTCAAAAGCACCCCTTTAACAATGATGAAGTGACAATAAAAGCCCTCATAAGCAAGACTACATTGTCATGTAGAAGAACAGGTTGCTTCTCTCCTGCTCTCTAGCACACTCCTAAAGAATGGCTCCTCTATTTTATTCACCCCTTCATTCTAAGGATAAAACAGTTTGTTATTTTAATATAACCTCCAGCAAAGCCACAGAATGCAAACTGCACCCCAATCACAACCAGGCAGCCACAATATTGCAAAGACACGTTAGTCTTTCTAGTAAACCAACTTCTTTTGTCAGAAGAATGACAAGAAAATTAATATTCAATTCTCCCAGACTATCACAGTATCAATGTTACACATAAACCCGAGCCTCATTCTATTTTTTTCCAAAGTCATTACGAAAGTTCTCCAGCTTCAGTTAAAGCTGAATCAGGACTTATGTTAGTAAGGTGGGCTGTGGGTGGTTTTGGTACAAGGATCTGTTATGTAGAACTCAAAATTCATGCTTAGAAATCACGTTATACTACAGAATAGTCATGGGATTTTTTACAGATCACATGCTCACTTATGAACACTGCATGCCCTCTTTTAATGTTGTCCTCTATGATCAAGAATGTGTGAACCGCACCAGAAATTGAAGAAAATGTATTTGTGCAATATAAAAATTTGCCCTTTCTGAAGCCTGCTGAAACACAAGCCAAAAGAATTACTGAGCTGGTCTCATATAACCAACTTGGCTGGGCCTTTTCCTGCTCCCAAACTCACAAAAATCCATCAGCACACAGATATGTGGCTATTGCACTGCCCAGCCCAGACACGACTTTGTCTCACCCATCCTACTCACATACACTGAGCAGGAATTTAGTGCTGCATTCCTGAAATACTCCAGAATCACCTTCCTGGTCATTCAGTGAACCAGGCCAGGGAACCGGTGCAGCTGAAAACAAACCTGTTTTCCCACTGGCTGTTTTCAGGTGGTGTGTTCACTGTGCAGCACTGTAGATGCCTGGGGAAGGTGAAAAAAAAAAAAAAAGAATCTGTAAGCAGGTCAGGAGGGTGGTACAGGCAGAACTGCTTCCTGCAGCAGCACCAGCTCCAAGCACTTGCCTGAGCTTGAACTCCTAGTGCATGAACTGCAGAAATGATGATTTTCAGAGGTTACCAGGAATATGTGTGAAACATGGCAGAAGGCACTGAAACCTTAGAGCAAGCTGAAGAAATCTGTCCTGAGAGATCATTTACAGAGAGCAGCTATTGTAAAGCAAACTCTACAGAACTGCACAACTATTTCCAGGCAAGTGTAACAGGCTGAGATTTTCTCTAATGCATTCTGTGATGTTGTTTCATAAGGCATCGATTTTTATTATTTTAGAACAGCAACTACACAAATCAAACACACAAAAATTGGTCTCCACTTTGCTAAAGGTTTTGAGAGCTGCTGATGAAGGAAATCTGGTAGTGGTGATGACCCATGTCCAAGTCCTTTCTTAAGCAAGATTTTTTTTGGTTTTAAATAGGATGCCAAGACAAAGGAACCCGAACAGAGGTGCTTTATACCCTCCCTTACATAACCCAGGTATCTCAAACTGAGATAATAAAGCTTAGATCAAGCTTTCCTGAGCTGGAAAGGAAACAAGCAGCCACACTTCTATTACAAAGGGAACCTGCCGGCTCTGACATCATTCCCACGGCTTCTCCTCACAGATGGACTCTTCCCGAGCTCGACACCTCTGCTCCACAGAAATGCGATCTGCTGTGCCTTTTGTGCCCTCCCTCCGGGCACCGACTCGGATTACAGGGAGCTACTGTTCCCTGACATATTTTCAGCCTTTCTGGAGACAGCTACCATTCTGTTCACAGAGATGCCATGACATTTAACAGTTTTCAGTCCAGCATTGTTTTTAAAGAACACTGATTTTAAATCTCGTCTCTCTAAGAGCAGCAACATATTTTAACATTTTAAATGCAAACCAAAGGTTTCCTTAGAGTAAAATGAGAACAAACATGCTCCTCAATAGCAGGAAAGAAATAGCAATCGAAAGAAAAGCCTTTTTTCAATGATTATTTAAAACCACTCAAACGAAGAGCTTGCAGAAGTTCCAATACACTCTGAAAACATCAGTTTCAGCAATATTTAGTCATGCCTCTAACGTCTAGTAGTAAATAAATTTATTTATTCCTATTTATAGTACCGTAGTCTTTAACATCACCAGGAGAAATTAGCTGGCAGACAACGGCAAAACATTTTTAAACAAAATCATTCACTGTTCACATGGAGATAGACTAACAGCCATTATCACACTGCTGGACATCCTGCTTTAGAGGAAGGTATTTTTTACATCACTTGAAAATGAGCACAGAGACGAATCAGGGCCACATTGATTGATGATCCCACGGTCAGACAGGTAAAGGTGATGGAACAGAGGTGAGGGACAGCAGGTGGCAACCAGGGGTAACATCAATGAACTATCTGCCATCTTCACGTGCTTTGCTGAGGTACATTTGTGAACAAGAAGGGAGTGGAGGGTTTGTCCCGGCAGAGCCCTGCTGATGGGGTTTGTGCCTGAACAAAGGACACCCTCCCACCTCAGCCCCACCCAGGCCGTGGGCACGGGGCCTGGAGCGCTGTGCCCGGGCTGTGCCGACCCTTGAGGAGCGCGGGCTCTGGTTACACAATGGGCTCATGGCAGCAGAGCTGTGTGTGCTGCCGGATTGTCACAGCCACTCGTGCCCCGTGTGCCGCAGGCAGCCAGAGCTCAGCCCTGGCAGGCACCTCTGTAAATTCTCCTTTTGGTGCCTGTGCTTGCCAAACCAGCAGTAAGAAAAAAAACTATGTCCCACACTCAACTTTTCCCCCTCCTCAACTTAGTTGACTGCTGAATTTTCAGTAAAGTGCTGCTTAACTAAACCCAGCACTTCTGGTTACTAACAGACACAGATACATAAATAGGCACAGAAAGTATCACTTGTCAGAAAAAAAAAATTCTTCACCATTATAAATTTTCAGAAAGATGAAGACGTCTGCTCTCTATAAAACAAACTACAACTTGCTACCCTTTTTAAACTTTACTATGCAAAATGAAGTTACACATGAACTTGAGTAAAATTATTAATAGTAATCTTTTTACCCAATACGAAAACAATCCTTCACAGTTTTTCTACTTTAAACCACTATTTTTTAAGCCACAGAACAGAAATGAGATGCCTAAAAATTACAACTGTACTCCCTCTATCATGCTATTTATAACGCTGAATAAATATTTTATTTTACTTTATGATCCACACTCTGCCATAACAGCATTGGGGAGTTTGTGTTCTGCCTCCTGCAGTTAAAGGACTGACTAATGTGGTAGATCTGGATGAACAAATATATTGTCTTTAACACCTACAGCCTCTTGAAGTAGGGCACACTAAGGAACAGTGGGGACTTTTGTAGCAAAACACATTTAAAAAATAATTTAAAAGCCCTGAAAGTATGCAGCTGCATTATGTACAGAAAACAACTGTAAGAAATGACATTATTGCTTTTCTACAGTTTGCAAGAACTACTGGACTGTAAACTACAGAGTATCTGGATTGGTCATGAGACCTTTGTCTTTTCCAAGGGGATGAGGGAGGAAACTTTACAGATATATTTAAGCAGAAGTACAACAAGAGGATGAAAACAAGTGGTTAGCATCAATTTAGCCAATATTCCTTCTTTCCATTTAAGCAGCTGATACTTTCCTCTATTATGACCTCCCAGTATTTGTTGTTTCACTAAAAATGACTGCTGGAACCTCAGTACAACCAAAAGCTTGAAAAATCAACAATATTACAAGTCAGCCATTATCTGTGTATGAAGCACTTGCTTTAAATTGCCAAACTAAAAAGCAATGTGCAGTTTAAGAGCATAAATGTCAATCTCCCAGAGGCTCAGTCATAATAACGCACTACAGAATTGCATTCACTAATGAGCAAATTATATGGGAAAAGGCACTGTATTTACAGTCACATCCATTTGTCTTTTATTTTTTCATTAAGGAGTATAATTGGTATTGCAAAAGCTCAATATAGCTTTTTAAGTGTAAGCATCTTACCACCTAAGTAAAGCCAACAAGTACCCTGGATGCTTCCTATGCACCTGCAATGCAGATCAAAATAGACAATTCCACCCCCAGGGCTGCTTTAGCTTCTGTATTCACATTTACCTTCACTGTCTCAGCTTTTCTCAGTTTAATAAGGTGGGCTCAGGTGCATTCTGCTGCCGTCCAGGGCAGGAAGGGCCCCTCCTTCCTCCAGCCTGTCCCACCCCATGTCCTGCGCAGGGAAACTGCGTCTGGAAGCATCTCCATGTCTGAAGACGCCCTGCACTTCTCTGCTGCCACATCCACAGACGACAGGCGTTCTGCTCCAAAGAAAAAATCTCCTCCTCCCAAAAGAAGCGTATTCCCTACCCACTCCAAAATATACACAACCCACCCGTCCCGCCCTTTGCAGGCCCTGTGCTGCTCATGAAAACGACACTGTTGTTACTTTGTAAAGTGAAAAGGCGCGATGTCAAAGGCGCCTGCGAAGGATGCGGGAGGATGCGGTGTAAAACCTGCCCCGGTGGGTGCAGGGGGAAGCGATGGGCGGGCGCTCTCCTGCTTTGGGGCACATCCCGAAATACCGACACGTCCTTGTCCCCGCATCGGCACAAACGGAAAGACAAGGGGGGTACAGCGAGATGCAGGGCAGTCCCTTCAGCCGCTGTGCTCCAGTGACCAGAAAAGGGCCCTGGATGCTCTCAGGAGCGCGCAGGGAGCGCTTTGGTCCAGCGCCAGGCGCACCGGCCCGGAGCCGCCCTGCGCGCACCCGCCGCGCTGCTGCTGCCCCGCAACGGCCCGGGGGGCTCCGGCCGGCTCGGGGGGGACTCTGAGGGGGCTCCGAACAGCCCTTGGGGGACTCTGACCGGCCCTGGGGGTCTGATCGCGCCCCACCTCCAGGGAACCTCCCTCGGCCGAGGCGCGGCTCCTCCCGCCGCCGCAGGTCCGGGGCCGCGGCCCCGCCGCCGAACGCGCCCCCACAGCCCCGCCCGCCCCTCACGGGAGGGTCCCTCGGCGGGCGCTGGATTCGTGTGAGGCGGAAAAAGGCCTCAGCAGCGATGCCGCCGCCCCGTTCCCCACCCAGCCCCGAGGGTCGCGATGCCGCTGCTGCCGCCCCCTCAGCCGGCCCGGGGCGGAGGGCACAGCGCGCCTCAGCCCCGCGCCTCGACCGCCGGCCCGCCCGGCCGCTCACCTGCTCAGCCCCAGGCGGCTCCGCCGCTCGCCCCGCCCGGAGGGCGCCCCGCGGGGCCGGCACTGAGCGGCGGCACCGGCGGCACCGGCACCGGGGGCGGCGGCGCAGGCGCAGGTGCGGCTGCGGCACCGGGCCCGTCGCTCTGGCAACGCGGGGACAGCGCGGCCGCCCCGGCCCCGCCCGCCACGGGAACGCGCGAGGGGCGGGGCGGGGCGCGCGCACGGGAGCGCGCACCTGGGAGAGAGGAGAGAGGAGAGGAGAGGAGAGAAGAGAAGAGAAGAGAAGAGAAGAGAAGAGAAGAGAAGAGAAGAGAAGAGAAGAGAAAGAGAAAAAGGAAAAGGAAAAGGAAAAGAGAAGAGAGTACACGCTGTCGTGGTTGAAGCCCAGAAATTAAGCACCATGGAACTCCCGCCTCTCTTCTTCTGCCTCCCCGGTGGAATGGGGAGGAGAATAAAAAGTAAAACTTGTAGGTTGAGGTAAGAACAGGTCAGTAATTGAAAATAAAGTGAAATAGAATAATAATGATATATAATAATGACAATAAAAAGGGAAAGGCGAAACACTCCAAACAAATGATGCACAAGGCAATTGCTCATCTCCAGTTGACTGATGTCGGACTATGCCTCCCCAAACCCAGATCAGCCTCCCCTCCAGGTAACCCTAGTTATGCCACTGGGCGTTATGTCCTATGCTGTGGAATGTCCCTTTGGCCAGTTCAGGTCATATGTGCCTCCCAGTTTCTTTTGCAAACCTCCTCACTGGCAAAGCATGATACACAAAAAAGAAAAAAAGAGTTCTTGACTTAGGATAAACAGAACTTAAAAGCCAAAACAGTGTGTTACCAACACCATTCTCATTCCAAATTCAGAACACAGCTCTGTACCAGCCACTGAGAATAAGTGAGCTCCCTCCCTCCCTCCCAGCTGAAGTGAGGACAGAGGTGCACCAGGTGTGTCCGTGTGCTGGGAGCAGTGTGTGTGCACGTGTGTGCTGGTGTGAAGGATGACGGGGGTGGAGACACATCTGTGAGCACAAGCTGTGGTGTGTGTGCTCCGAAGGATCACGGCAACATGTGTGTGGATGTGTGGGAAAAAGCCTGCCTGGAGCCTGGGGGAGGGTTTGTGCTATTGGCACACGCGTATGAATTTTCCTCAAGCCCAGTGAAACAAGTGCAGCTGCAGCAGAGCCCCAGGAGAGCTGTGGGGTTGCAATTCCTGCAGCCTGCTCTGCACATGCACCTTCACTCTGCACTGCCATTTCTGCATTAATATCTGAATAAATGTGACCTACCACCAGTAGGGCAGGCTCTGGGTGTGCAGCCCTACGTGGTTGGATATTCTCTGCATTTTCT